TTTTGTTTATGGTTTCTATAAAATATATTTGAATTTGCAAGACCATCGAAAATCAATGGGAAAATTGCATGCTAATTAAGTAGTCAGTTTTATCGAGCACGCTTCCTACCGGAGATTGAAAAGAAGTGCATGTAAAAGCCGACAACCTGCCGAGTCCGAAGTGTTATAAGAGTATGCCGCAAGATATTCAGTATTACAACCGCGATCAAGTAATCCTTCCTAATCGAAAACGCATTTCAGAATTTCAGCCAACATTTCATGAGATCGGTTACTCACTGTATATTGAAATCACTAGCCAAGGCAATATGTTCCGAGGTATTTTTATACGGATTGCTTCTTCAATAATGGGTGTCGACCTAGTCGAACGTAAAAAACTCATCACAGAAAAAAGTGAAATCCCAAAATCAAAGTCGTCGATAGACTAATTCATTCTAATATGCAGCTCCTTTAAAAACCGGCTCGATAGTCTATTTTCCTGAGAGATTTTCACGTACTTTATGAATTCCAGGAAGCAGTATAACACTTGGCTGGCTATTTAAAGTGACCGAACAGCTAATAATGTTCCCACTGCAATCGAACTAACTCACATTTCGCTTTATATTATTGTCATTTTCGCTATGTTCGCTTTCATCTAGTCTTCGTTTTTGATTTTAAATGATCGACAGCGACATCTGAGGTTCTATCATTTCCGCATCTGCATCGCAACGTGACGTAAGCTAGACTACACATAGTATACCTTAGCACATGATCCAGAGTTAGCATATCTACTTTGTGATAAGGAGTTTCAGTTTCATATATGGCAGATTCGCAATTTGTAGGAAATTGTAGTTTTAAGCACACGATTGCACGTAGGCGTTAGCGCGGCATTTTAGCTCCCGTGTGTGTACTCGTACAGGGTAGCGTCCAAATGACATTTCTCACCTAGGCACGTTTCACCATTAAAACGCCAGAAGGTTGCATTTGAAAGACTGTTGTGAACTGAAGCGCCTTGTTGTTCACTTTATTAATTTGGATGCATGTTTTAGGACACTGGCAAGAAGTCCCAGATCTGCAGCTCTAAATATTACTGTACGGAAGTAAACATTCACACGGCCAACAATGTAAGCATACTTAAACGCACAGTCGTATTTTTGTCGCTTCCACAAATTTACCGAACATTTAGACTAAAAGTTACTATCATGTTTACATAGCAGCGGAACGTGATCTGACCATGAATCACAGTAAAGTTTAATTACAAAAAATCGGACTATTATTTTAAGAACGATTTTCTTCCATGAAAAACGATAATATTTCTGATTCTAAAATCCGCGGCTTCTGTAGTCATTTTACTCCACCATAGAAGCTCGCAAACAGACTGCGATATTTTTAAGGAAGAAACTGCATAGGAGATGGGCTTCCACAACTAATGATGCGGCAATCCCAGTTTTTAACGCGCCTTATCCTAACTTGCTGCTTGAGTTTTCTAAACCACCATACAGTGGTTTCCAAAACGACGAGCATTGGTTGACGGACTATCGGCCGGAGCGGTTTTTATGTCTCCAGTGCAAACCGGCCTCACCAACCCACGCAATATCCGTGTCAACATCACGACTCAGTGAGTTTTGTGATCCCAGTCTTGCCTCATTATTGCGTAGCCGGTAGTTTCAACTATTTGCTGAGCTAGGTTTGGGGTCAGACGCTCCCAGTACATCCTGAAAGACACAATAGCAGATTATTTATTCATATGATCCGCAAAATGCGGCCAATTCGAGCTTTACATGGCACTTAACACCCAGGTCCAGAACTTCTTAACGACTTTATCTCTAAGCTGTTGTCCGGCAAAGGACCATAAGACTTCGACAAACATGAAGTATTTTGAATTTTCTTAGGGCGAGGGTGAGGAAGCCCGAAACCCTCAAAAGTGATGCCTTTAGGCACCGGCTTCATACTAAAACTCCAGCTTGCATTAAGTCGTTTGGAAAAAATGTTTATAAACTACCTATCTTTTTTGCTAATTGACGAACTATACTCCAGGTAATCGCGTTAAGAAATCAGATATTTGGCCAGAAGCTCAATCGTGTGCTTTTACATGTCTTTTGCGAATATAACGAAGTGGATGAATATGCTTCCTTGAGCTTCTGACATCGCAAAACTGCACAAATCAGATCATCACACCGGAGAGTATCTGTCTAGCTACGAAAGCGGATTGATGAGCAAGTCGACAACGTTTTCAACAGATTGCAAATCGAATCGTCGTTAGGGGACTAATAATCCCGGCAAATTGTTGGCCGCACCGACGGGTATATTTAGCATATTTGCTACTTCAAATGTACACGGGAAAAGCACAGACTGGGCGTAATTATCGCATACTTCCAAAAAGGCGAAATCTGATTCCTCCTAATTATTTGGAACTCCAGCATATCCTCAGTTGTTAGGTAGTATCGTGCAAATGGATTTTCATTTGGCATGTATTTAAACAAATAACTGATTCATCTGTAAGCGCCTTTTGTAGAAATATTATAAAATAGCATGAGACCTTTAAGGAGGTTAAAATTTACATAACTTTTCTCTATACGCCATAATAAAACACGTTTTTCTGAAATATATCTGCGAGATACTCATACCAAACTAGCGAGCCCCCGGCTTTTACTAGTTGAAGCTTTCCTAATAAAATGAATTTATAATTGCTTTTAGGAGAAAGCTGACGCTCTCTCCTGAATTCTATAATGATGTACTCTCTAAGTGAAACGCCTCGGTTGCAGAATGTTGGAGGACATCAGGTACCAAGGACATTTCTCATGATCGGTGCTCTGATGAGTCCCGTTAACCAAAATATGGCAAGTACCTTGTCATCCAGACCTTCATTGACACTTTCATCCGGTGACCTGCGATGACTTACATACCGGATTATGAGGCAGCTACTGAAGGCAAAATTTCTGTTTTACTGACATGTTATAAACGGTGCTTTTCGCCCTTCCCGACGGAGAGTGAGATCCAGGCTGTCACCCGCCTAATCGTGCGACTCCAACTGAAAACCCCTCCGTACGTCACGAAAGGCCAGATAACAGAATCAGTCACCATCTGCCGGCTCTTTCTAGCATTTGGTCATCCTTGAATTTGGGCCTCCTCTACTTCTTCACTGAACCCGACTCCGGCCACCAACCGCCTGACGAATTGTCTGAACTATGCTTTCACCTCGTCCAGTTACAACCACGCATTATATTTCCCGTATAGCAACTAAGTGGTGATAAAGTGCACTTAGAAGGCTACAATCATCTGGCCAAACCCCATGTTTGAGGAGAAGACGGAAGGCGCCATAATGATGGTTTTCTTGTATACAGAACCCGGAGTTGTCCCCTGAGGCAGCAGTGACCGCAGGCGAAGCCAAGGCTTCTGTTGACTGCGTCCAGTAATGCCTGAGAGTCCTTGGAACGGTGCTGACAGCCGCTTTTGTAGGCTCGTGGGCCAAGTTCATGCGGTGTCCAATCAGTGTGTGTTGAGTTTACCGAGGGGTGGTGTCCCGGTGGCCTAAGGTGCCGGCCGCAAGCGGTGACACCTTCAAGTGGCCGCTGGGGCAGCTACGACCCTGTGCGGACCCAATTGTGTCCGGGCTGAAGACGGCCCAGTGCCTTCAGGTCAATGGGTCTGGAACGGCTCGCTGCACGTTGTGAATGAACTTGAGACAGCGAGGCTATAAACAATGACGTCAGATCGGCCATGATGGCCGCCCGCAACACCCCTTCGCGTCTCTGAATGTAACGGTCCGCATTCACAAGTCTCCGGGTTTATCTCGTCCCTCCAGCCAAAACACTTAGTCACGAAAACTTCTTGCTATCCACCCCTTCCCACGGACGTCGCTTTTATGTCTGAACCGTTTATTTACGTTTTATTATCGACTAACAAGCCTTCGAGAGATGTTCGTTCGTAGTACGACCCTTTGTCATGTCGCAAAACGAGCTGCGGCATGATAAGCGGCGTACTTTTAGAAAGGTCGGGCTGGCATAAGAGGGGCATTGTGAACATTGTGCTGTGAATTCATAAAGAATGTGTTTCGTAAACAACTGCCTCCTTCCATCGAAATAGCACTTGCCAAGCCGGGTGTAAGATGGGGCGCTTATAAATCCTGTTTTCTGTTCATACGTTCGTTCTTCCTGTAATTGTGATGGCTTGATGGTAAATTACCGAAAACATGTGTTTACCAAGTGCCTTTCCAGGAAAAGCATGGCTAAATTCGGACGCTAAGAGAATCAGACTATCGGCCACATTCAATGACTATCCTGCAAAGTGTCTAGGGGCATTGCCTGAGGTTTACATGAGAGAACAAAACAAGTGCTAGAAATCCCTAAAGACGTGTCACTCAAAAAAAACCAATACATAGTTTGTCACTCAAAAAGAGGCGAAAATGGAATTTTCAGGGCACATGTAAAAAGAAGAAGATGCATGCACTTCTAGAAGACAGTTCGGATACTGATCTTCGGGAGTAGACGATGAAAACGTAAGAGGATCAAGGCGACTGATTATCGTCACGGCGGGAATGACAGAGTCCACGATAAGAGAGCACTGGCGATCTCGGCATCAGTCAACACGCACCACAACAATGAGAGCCGTTCAAAGGGATCTCCATTTTTCGAATACTGGTTGATAAAATCGGTACGCCGATTCAAAGCAAATATTTTCGTTAAACATCTCGTCTTCTTTTGATATGGCTAGCCCCGGTTGCAGCAACACTTATTCGTTATTCACCTGGTGCACGCAATTCATACGTTTGTTAAAATGCCGGAGGGTGTCAATAACAACGAATAACAAGCATTATCAATTGCAGCTACATTTATAACCAGTCAAAAGATGCGAAGAAATGAGGTACGGGAAGCAGTTGTGAAGATGGAGGCACGATCAATGGGACAAGATCTTCATTCGCCAGACATTTCGGACTCCTGATCGAACCCATAATCAAAGACAAAAGCAGATACGGGTGGCGAATGCACAGGGGGGTACAATATTTATAGGATGCAGTCGCCATGCTACCGCATACCTATGAATGTTCGCGTCTCCCCCCCCTCATCAGAAATCGTTGCACTTGGGGTGATGAACGATTGATGGCCGACATTCGCGTCGTTAATTGCTGCAATTTCATCACGGGTGTTGGATTTTGGTGTGGTGATTGATCGACCATCTGAACCACCGACCTCGGCGTTGGGAAAGGTGTTCGCTTGTACGCTCCCCGCATGGCCAATAACTCCGTCTAGGCGAAGACTCAGCACCGAGTATGGAAGGGGAGGGTCATTGCGCTTCTTAATAGACTTTGGGTCAGTGAACCATGATCCAAGCAGCTCGCGGCTCACACGGTTGTCACCTCTAGCGAGAATAATTTCCTCGTTTACTTTGAATGTATGGCCAGATCTCGTCGAATGAGCCGAAGTGACGCTTAAAATTGATAAATGCCACATAAAGGTCAATAATACAGATTGATGATCGCCTATTCACGCAACCTAGCCGTTACTTATGTCCATGTAGGTTGAAACTAGCGCTTTTTACTTTAGAGAAGTTCATTCATTACGATCTGACCTTAGTTGTTTACACCTACCTGGCCGAAATTCCGCCATGTTATTAGATCGGAAGCACTTTAACTAATTTCTTTAAGCAAAGGAACACAAATTTACCAACCTTTTAACATTATCAATCAAATGAAACACCAATAACGCCATCCTACTTAGATTTGAGGACACCGCATTCCTCAGGTTGAATGGTCTCCTCACTTCTCTATCGGCCAATAGAAAATTCGCTCCAAGTGTAGAACCCAGTAAATGTGCCACTTCGATGTAGCCAATCATAGCGGCCTCAGCAGACAGCTACTTAAATAGGATCCAAGTCCACTTTGCACGACCCTTCGAAGTATGAAGTGCGAGGACGCTAATAAGGCGACCCGCTTCACAGCGGTGATTGCTGCATTCTTCATGATGTTCACTCTGGGATATATGGGTTCACAGGGTAAGTAATTACAATAAAATCTCAGTGTGACCTTGTTTTTAATAAAGGCAATTTGTCACCGTACATAATGTCCTATCTGTGCAAATACGTGGACCCATCCATACGCAACAGTCATGTTGTGTGGCTCACGGCTGCCGGTCTGACATCTAACGGTCTGACCATGCCCCTCTCGGGCCTGTTAATTCATAGGCTCGGATTCCGCGTAATTGTCTTTGCCAGTTTTATCTTATATAGGTAAGTATCCTCCGAGGCTCAAATGATTATCATTCTCGTTATTCAGTTTGTAAGAAGACACTTTCCTAAAGCATCTTAGAACCTGCTTCTAAATCCCTGGTGTTAGTAGCCGCTAAATACTGGTTGAGCTTGACTGACTGCAACACCTGGAAGAGCTTTTGCTGCTTAAGTCGTTTGGGTGGATCGCTAAAGTTGGCGCTGCAGGATTTAGTAAATTAGCTCGAGTTACGTGGCATCCACCAGACAAGGACCTGAGATCAAAATACTCTGCAGTATTAGGGCTTTGGGCGTTTGCATTGACATCCAGAGTTGGCCCTCAAATCCGGTTTCCGGGTAGGGGGGGGGGGGAGTGCGTTAGACCAAAACGACATGCGCCTATAGATGATGAAATTGCGACGATTAACAACCCGGACGCGGATGACAGCCCATAATCGCATCAATTCCGGCCCCCAACGGTGATCGCAAGAGCTGTTAATTATAGTACGCATGTGATCCCACGGCAGCTACCTTTATATGTGACTGTCTCTGATGGGGAGTCCGAGGGAGAATCCGATACGTCAGGCCAATAAATCTCTCGTTTCAACGTCTTCTTATTCTGAGTTGCTTCCTGGGGCTCGCCTGTTCGTTTCTATCTACAGTACGCTTGTCTGGCTGCGTAGAATTCTCATGAGCACATAGCTACGGCCAAACATGCGCGCGTTTTCGCGGCAGGTGTTAGACTTAGACAATCTCGCTACGACTGCCACCACAGTCAGGCCTAAAATCGGACAGTCGAGAGTGCGGGGGGGGGAAATCCCTCCTCACGACATACAACGCTTTTCCCAGCATAATGGACCTGAGCCGATTGATTCTATTCAGACGCAGTAAAAGTTGTGGGTTCAAAGGCTTCCAGCTGGGTAAGTAGCGTGTCATTCGCGAGACCTGATGACAGGCTTCATTGGCCCTTTCTGAGTGCGACCTTTGTGGCATTCGCCCCCCTAGGCGCGAGACCAGAGTCGTGCTTGAAGAGGCCCGGTTCCTGCGATGGGATCAGATCGGGTGTGGCGCATGCAGACGAACTGTTCGGGTTTTTCAGTCACTGTGTTTGGCCCCACATCCAGCCTTCCTCCATTCGTGGAAGGTGAGTCAAGAATGAGTGAATGCAGCGGATACTGCGCAAATCTGCCCCACTACAAGCCACTTTAGGGAGCAAATCGTCGCTGATGCGGCCATTCCGTGCGGCATGTAGTAGACAGCACTGTTTACAACGCTCGAACTGCCGGTTCTTGGCTCACACATGTATTTTGTGGCTGTCATTCATGCCTTAGCTTACAGACATGCGCCATCAGCTGGCTACTGCCTACAGTACTGCTTCGGCCAGTTTGTTTGATAATTAGATTGAGCTTGCATGAGACCTCGAGCTGACAACTCCCCTTATCTTCCAGAACTTGACATCCGGCCATCCGCGGCAGTCCTCTTTACAAGTGCGCCTTAGTCGACTTGATTTATGTTTGAACCAACCTGACCGGTTGGTGTCTAGGCTGCCCACACCGTCTTGTACGTGCTCGACACGTGGCTCTAGGACTCTCCCATCTGTGCAGGTCGAAGCCGTCGACGGTGGCGCAGTGACACACCGTAGTGGCTTACACCATTTTTACTCAGAATGCGCATTTAGTCGATTTATTCGAGGCTTTGAGGCTTCGTCTGTTGGATTTTAGTGGGTTTGTCAGGGAACCCTGCCAGAATCGTCCGTTTGGGAAACTGACACGTCCCACGAATCCTCGTTGTTGCCCATCCTACCAGCTGACGCAAAGGTCTGGTTTCATGAACCACAGACAAGAAGTTAACGATAAGCACTTATCACAGCACCTATAATAGCGGAGTTAGCGGGCTGATAAACAGCGAATGTGAATCAGTACCTAAGTGAGTTAATGGAAGAACACATTATCTGCGGAAAACATTATGTTTACGGAACTGACGGGTTTTATTACAGAGTTTGTTTATGCACGAAAGGGCCTTATCAGGACCCGTTGAACATTATGTCAAAATGGCTAGAGAGCTCAGCGTGATCATGTGAATAATTATGTATAAACTGGTAAAGCATAAAGAGTACTCTGCATCCGGTGTTTCTAGCAGCCTAGTCAATGAGTAGTCGCCTCCAAACGATTACTTCTTCGACAGAATGTCAGGAGACGTTTGAGCATCGTTCAACTGTAATACCCATACTTTATGAGATGGCATGAGAAACCGGTAAGTAAAATTAGTCGCCATAAAAAGAGACGACGATTCATACTTTTTAGGCATAACTCTTTAATGAATAATGATGAAGTTGCCAAAGATGCCATGTTACCTGCGGAGGCTGTGCTACTGTAGTTTGACCAGCGCTACATCCTCCACATACGAAGAAACGGTTGTCTAAAACAGACTACTATCATTTTATCTATCCCTAAACATTAAAAGGAAGCTAAACGATTGCAGACGGAGGCGATGCTGTGCGTCTGATTCAAAAGCAAATTGGCAGCACAGATGCTACTAGCTTTAAATGATCCACAGAGATTTAGTTCCCCATATCTGCCAAACTTCCTTTGTTTTTTAACAGTTGTGATGCACTTTTAGTTAGAATGCCTGTCGTTCTAATCTGAACTTGTAACTGGCCGTTATATGCACGCAGTCCCCTCCTAAGCCTAAGATATTAAAAGGTTATGGACGGCTGACTTGCTTTTTTACCTTTGGGAATCTGTTGACTTACACAAACACAATCACAAACACAATCCCTTTGTTTTGTTAGTCGACTGGTAGATGGCATTTGAGCTAGCTATGCTTAAAAACCAGTGTTAAAATCAAAGGTCGGTGTCATGGCCACGAGAATGGACACACGCCGATTTACTGAATGACCAAAACTAACGAGTCAGTTTTTATCACAGGTTGTATTTATGCACGAAAGGGCCTTATGAGGCCTCCTTGAGCATTGTGTCAAAATGGTTGGAGAGCTCAGCGTAATCACGTGAATAATTATGTACAGTGAGTGACCTATCTCATGAAATGTTGACTGAAATTCTGAAACGTGTTTTCGATTAGGAAGGATTACTTGATCGCGGTTGTAATACTGATTATCTAAAGGCATAATCATATAGTATTTCGGAATCGGCAGGATGTCCGCTTTTAAACACTGCTTGTTAATCTCCTGTGGAAAACGTACTCGGTAAAAAATGACTACCTAAGTAGCATGCATTTTTCTCATTGATTTTCGATGGTCTTGCAAATTCAAATATATCTTATAGAAGCCATGAACAAAAATACGTTTTCTTTCAGTCAATTAATAGACAATCACGTCTTCTTTATATTTGTTATTAAATGAAGGCGTAGAAGTAGGTTTTAAAAGAGTTTTCCAATTCCCGAATAATTTTGAGCCAGATCTGCCATTACATTAGTGTTTAGCGATTTCAGTTTACAAGGTTCATGCTTTCTACGTAAGGAAAATCAAATATTCCTCTATTCGTTTAGGAAGATACCACATAGAGTTTATAAAATTTTGCAAAGGATCCGAACTATGAAGAAGGAGACACGATCGCATGGAGAAGAGCTTTGTTAGCCTGACGTTTTGGATTCCTACTCGAATCCATCATCAGAGACAAAAGAGCAGAAACGGGTGGTTGTTGCACAAGTGGTGCGAGGTGGGGTTGGAGTGGCACACAGACCGGAGGCAACCATCAGGTGTCTGATCATGAAACCGAAAGACCCACTGCCACGGCTAGAAACGTCTGGAGTCGTTTATCGGATCTGGTGCAGTTGCGGACAAAGCAACTACGTCGGAGAAACCGGAAGACAGCTCAAATCGAGAATGGCCGAACACGCGGCAGCGGTGCGCAGAAATGACGCCAGCTCTCAAGTTGCATCTCATTCGACGAGATCCGGCCACATATTTAAATTCGATGAGGCCAAAATTATCGCAAGAGGTGACAACCGAGTGAGCCGGGAGCTACTGGAATCATGGTTTACTGACCCCCAGTCCATCAACAAGTGCAACGATCTTCCCATTCAATACAGCGTGCTGGGACTTCGTCTAGGCGGAGTAACAAGCCACGCGGGGAGCGCACTGGTGAACACTCTTCCCAACACCCGGGTCAACGCGTCAGATGGTCGAGCAATCATCACGCCAACATCCAACGCACGTGATAAAATTGCAGCAATTATCGACTCGAATGTCGGCCCTCAAGCAATGATCACACCAAGTGTGACAATCCCGGATGAAAGGGGGAGCCGTGAACGTTCATAGGTATGCGGTAGCATGGCTACTGCATCCTATAAATACCGCAGCCCCTTGTGCAGCAACCACCCGTTTCTGCCCTTTTGTCTCTGATGATGGATTCGAGTAGGAATCCGAAACGTCAGGCTAATAAAGCTCTTGTCCCGGCGATCGTGTCTCCTTCTTCAAGACTACTTCCTGGGACTCGGCTCTTCGCTTCTATTGATCCGGACTATGTTGTACATTTCACGAGGAGCTGTCATAAACGGCCAGGTACGATGCTATGTGAATGGACATTGCGCGGTCTTAAAAAATGTCCTAATTAGAAACTTTTTTAAAACCTAATTATACTCCTTCCTTGAATAAAAAATATAAAGAAGACGTGATTGTCCATTAATTGACTGAAAGAAAGCCTATTTTATTTATGGTTTCTATAAGTTATATTTGAATTTGCAAGACCATCGAAAATCAATGAGAAAAATGAATGCTACTTAAGTAGTCATTTTTTTACCGAGTACGTTTTCCACAGGAGATTAAAATGCAGTGTTTAAAAGCCGACATCCTGCCGAGTCCGAAATACTATACGATTATACCGCAAGGTAATTATTTTTCCAAGCGCGCATAAATAGTCCTTCCTAATCGAAAACGCATTTCAGAATTTCAGTCAACATTTCATGAGATAGGTCACTCTTTGTATAAACTGGTAAAGCATAAAGAGTACTTTGTATCCGGTGTTCCAGGAAGCCTTGTCAGTCGCCTTCAAACAATTACTTTCTCCATAGAATGTCAGAAGACGTTTGAGCATCGTTTAAATGTAATACCCATACTTTATGAGATGCATTTAGAAACTGGTAAGTAAAATTAGCCGCCATAAAAAGACACGTCGCTTCACACATTTAAGGCATATCTCTTTAATATATAATGTTGGAGTTGCCAAAATGTGTTGTTAACTGCAGAGGCTGTGCTACTGTGGTTTGACCGACGCTTCATCCCCACATACGAAGGAAAGGTTGTCCAAATCAGACGACTATCATTTTATCTGTCCTTGAACATTGGAAGGAAGCTGAATGCGTACGAGTTGAGACAATGCCTTGCGTCTCAGTCAATGGTGAATTGGCAGCCCATATGCTACTAGCTCTAAATGATCCTCAGAGATTCAGTTTCCCATATCTGCCAAACTTCGTTTGTTTTTGATAGTTGTGATGTCCTTTTAGTTAGAATGCCTGTCGTTCTAATCTGAACTTGTAACTGGGCGTTATATGCATGCAGTTCCCTCCTAAGCCTAAGATATTAAAATGTTATGGACGGTTGACATTCTTATTTATGTTGGGTACTCTTGTCTTGCACAAACACATTCTCCTTGTTCTGTTAGTCGACTGGTACATGGCATTTGTGCTAGCTATGCTAAAAACCAGTGTTAAAGTCAAACGTCGGTATCATGGCCACGAGAATGGACATACGCCGATTTACTGAATGACCGAAACTAACAAGTTCAGATTAGATGGCAAAGATTGCGGACAGACAATCATTTTTTCAGACTAAACTCAATCAGTCTAAGATGGTGAAAAAAAATGCCGCTGCTTCTGACTGAATAAAGACAGAGTAAGTCGACGGAGTGCGTTCATCTGACTGCATCGCCATAAGCATGGTTTTCGATGCCGCAAATTTTTATTTCCGATAGAAACAGTATCTAGTTTATTTAAGTTACCAGCTTCCTGGTTCCTTTTTTCCCAGTGCAGTTGTTTTGTTTCAGTGGAGGAATATTGCTGAGTTACTTTACAATAAAGATCAATTTCGGCGTCTTCCTATTGACCCAATACTTAATGCTTGGCACGGGACTTGGCTGCTGCTACAGTCACTTGCTCTCCTTGGCTGCCTCGGTAAGTGCGCTTCGACATTAATTTCATGTTTCCTGACATACATAAACGGAAGATGAATACAGTTGGAAAGTACAGTATTAACTCGAAATTATTAAAGTATCCCCTAGTGACAGTGAGTGTATTTTTTACAAATATGATGTATATAGATCAGTTTAAATAACTCTACTAGATGTCTGTTTTGACCTACCGGTGGCCCACCGAATTCTTCATATGTGAATTCCATTTGAGGGAAATGCATATTGCCGCAAATATGTGCGTTGGCTTCACATAAGTACTTTAGTTTTCAGAAAAATGCCATTTCACTTGAAACCCAAAAACTGAAGACTCCCTCGAGGACTATTTTTAGGTGTGTCAGACAGGTGATCCTAAGAAAAGATGACGTCCAGCATTCACTTCTAATATCTTTTGAATCCTCCATCCAGATAATGAAAACAATTGCAGCTTTATTGCGGTTCCCATTTCAGTCACTTGAAACTACCACTTGGTTAGAAAGAAAGTTGATAATTGATTGATGTTAACGCATCATTCAACGGTCCTTTGTAATCCGGCGACATTTTCGTAAAGGTTCTGGTCTCAACACACGGAATATTTTAGCAAGAACGAATAAACGTTTTGTTAAAGTTCCGCTAGAAAGCTGAACGCTGTTTCGACGCAACTCAGCTATTAGGGTATGCAAAATGTCATCCAAATGAGCCCGATATTCCCTTGGTACAGTGCCGCGCTTATAGCTCTTTTCCCGTAAACATTATATGAACCATGTAGCTCGTGAAACGAATTTGAAAGAATTTAAAATCAGTTTGTAGAAGCATAGGCAATCATTGGGAAAATGCGGCTGCAACAACCGGCATATATGTTCTTGGCAAAAAGTACGCAACTTGCTCACCGAAAATCCACAAGGTCATACTCAATTGCCTGAAAGAAATGATGCATCTCTTGACCTCCTTAAATTAATCTAATTTTGAGGGTTTTGTGAAGACATCGACAGGGATTTAATGCGTAAAAGACAAAAATATATACGTTTATACGGTAGCCGTGCAATCGTATAAAATTTCAAGTGACATTTTAAAGTCGATCATTGATGAGAATTTGCGCAACATAATCCGAAGATTTTGGAGTCACGCTAGGATGCCGGCAGCCAGAAAAACCACACCCAAAATTAAGCTCTTAAGTATGTAATAGATGTTTTACAAACACTTTTCGATGCCATTTTAGACTCAACTATATTTTCCAGAAAACAATCATACAATATTGTTTCACTCAAGCCTTTAGAGGCAGATTACATTCTACCAGCAATTTTCGCACTTCAATATATGGAATTTTTGTTTTCGGAAATGTCCTTAATTATGAGATTGTTAAATTGTAAAACATCCATCAATGCGTCATGGTGCCCTTCATTTTATTATTTCTGCCTATAAATTGAACATCATCGTCGACATTAATTGCATCATACGGAGGCAGTTCATGACATTTTTCCTACAGCGTAGCGAAATAGGTGTTCTCTTTATATGAAAAGTTATAAGCATATAAGCTGGATCATATAAGTTCATGAACACTACAAAATGGGATTTAGGCATTGTGCCATATTGTGGAACCAAAAAACATTCCTCTACGCGTAAAGTTTTAGGAATACTTAACTCTATCATGAGCCGAAGAAAAAACACTTTTATGTTTGTTTCGTATAAAATGCTATAACCTCACATAAGTAATCATTTCTGACCAAAAACCCAATGCAGAATTCCATCCAGCACTTTACGATTAGGGATCAGACGCCGCAAATAATCACCAAGGAGGGAATGGAAACATTGTTTTTTTTCGAAAAGCCGTCCTCTTGGAAGTTTTCACGAACTGATGTCACATATCGAAGTGCAAGTTAAAAGCCCGCACAATTAACAGCTGAATAGGTACGGCATGCTAGAATACGCATTATGACATTTCTGAAGTATATTCCTCCCACGAATCAAGGCGATATCTTTAATCCCATTAACCCTCAAATTCTGCAAATCCTCCACTTTTCCGTTTCAGTCGACGAAGAATCTCGGCTTCAAGGGGATACTCAGAAAATGAGAATCATTTTCTATAGACAAATGGATTGGCAGCACTGCTCACTCGTGATATATCGATATACTAAACACTCATCGTGCTCGTTTGGTCAAGAAACATTCATGAGAAACCGTTGCAGTGGGCAGGATGATTCTTATATTAAGATTCTTTCAAATCTTTCGACGGTTTTTATATGTCAAGTAAAATCTCATTGAAGACAATGGTGATTTGCTTCTTCGACACCAAAGGTGTCGTTCACGTTGAATTTACTCCTCATGGAAACACACTGAACCAACGTCACTATTTGAAAGCAAAGATGCGATTATCTAAGGCAGCGGGTGAAAAATGACCGGAATTTTGAAAGTCCGGGGAGAATGTGCTTCCTCATATCGACGCGCCCGCCCACACAGTGTTGAACACGTTTTTGGCGAAAAACGACAGCTTTGTACCTCCTTACTCGTCGGCCTGGTCCACTACGATTTCTTATTTCTAAGAATGAAGAAAAGCCCACATGGGAAGCGGTTGAAGAAGATAGAAGAGTGAAAAACGAATTGCTGGAGACCCTTGACAGCATATACAAATGTTCCTAACAGGGGCTAATCCACTAGAAGAAGTGCACACTATCTAGTGGAACATTTGGAGTAGGGATAATGTTTTTAAGATGTCGCTTTAAATAAAAATGATTACATAAGCTATTATTGTCCTTTCGGGCACTCCTAGGTTATTTCCAACATGTTCAGCGCCGAATAACTTCAACGTCAAGGATCTAGGAAGTCTTAAAATCTACATTTGAAACCTCTGGGCTAAAAATGACCTTAATAACTGATTCATTGAAGAAATTTTTAGAATACCGCATTCTAAGACGGATAAATGGTAAAGTACGAAGCTGAAAATTTGCTTTGGTGCTTGTACCTTATCGCATCCATACCTACTGATCGTAATTTCTAACCCATACCTAGTGGTTTCCCAAACAACGAGGCTTGGTTGTCGGTTTATTTGTCTGTGGATTTGGGTCCGGCGCCATCGTCCTGACTCCCCTTCAAACGCTTCTCATCAACCCCAACAATATCCATGTCAACAACGACACTCAGTAAGTTCTGCCCTCCTGCTACTCTACGGTTGCATTTTTATTTTTCTGTCTCGTTATCGCACAGCCGTCTACCTGCAATAACCCCCATCTGAGGTCACTTATATCCAATGAGGTGGAGCAGGTCAGTGGCACAAACTGTTTCTTCATATACTTTGCGAATTTGGCCAATTATGACTTTGAACAGACGCACAGAGTAACCTGAGTTTGCCCTGGATATCCACTTCCCGAAATGCTTACAGACTTCTAAGTGTCCACTTGCATTGTCTCCAGCGCTTCCGTCTCAGATTTTATGCGTGAAGATGTCCGTTATTGGTTAACCAGCGAGTTGGATATCCTTCAGGTAGTTTGTCACAGATAATATCTTAATTGAATATGCAGTGCCTCATTCAAAGCTATCATAGCCATATTGTGACCAGTAGTTTTGGGACATGGATGGTACGTGCACTGGAAGGGCCCAACTCGCTGTCATAATTTGGTAAAGCCAAACGATTTTCAACACGTCGGCTAAGGTTTCACGGATTGTGGCGATCGCCTCAATGGCCCCGGGGAGGCACTGTTTGAAAGGGTATCCCCGATTAATCTGAAAGCCTACGCTGACGCTTCAACGCGAGTTTTACTGTTGAAGAAGATCGTCGTAACCTGCTGTTTGCGCAGTGTACTCGGTGTCAGGCGGCTCGGTGAGTGGACTGCTGCCTGTGGGTGGGTAGAAAGAGAGAGTAATGCGACGTCTCAGTACATTCTCCACACAATAAACAATCCTACACGCCAGAATATATCCCTGTACACTAAGAGCCGTGGCTTTGAGGGTGGCGGACGGACAATTTTACGCAGACCTCGCAGTCGGCCTGTGAGATGCGTAAGGGACCAGCTCTCCCGCTCTGTCGGCTCTTGCGCCCGACTCCGCCCCCGATCTTCTTGACGCTGTCTTGACACCATGTCCGGGTGGGTGAGAGGGTGGGTGTGCGGTAGATGTAACGCAAGTTTATTACCATCTTCAAACAAATGCATCCGTAAACTACCGTCTCTGCCCTCACTCTAATGTATAGCATACCGTGGACTTAACCGAAGCAGACGGATAAGCTGCCGTAGTATCAAATTAGTCTAATCTGATCCGCGTAATCAGTTCAAACGCAGAACGGAGCGCTAAATACTCCAATTAAGATAGAAAATATTTATTGGTTTTTAAAAAAGATTTGGATTGCGAAATGCTTTTTTTACTTGCCGTTAAACTTTCATTCAGGGTTTTACAACTACATTGCGTGTACATTCAGCCAAAGCACATCACATGGTGCTCATACAATTGCGCGCTGACTGTGGACAAGTTTGCATGTTTCATTAGAAATATTAATAAACACGCTGCCACACTGCTGTATGTACAGGCAACTCACGGTCCTCAAAATCTTATAATTAGATACACTTTTTTTAACCAAAAGACTTTTTCTCATAAATTGCAAACATGGAAAAGACTTGATTCGCTACCAAAGGAGCACAAGAAATAATATTGTTGACCATGTTTTCTATAAGGTATGTTTGAATTTATAAACGCACATTATTTATTACTAAAACTCTTATTAAGTCCTCTTTGTTAATCGAAAACATATTCCAGATTTTCAGTTAACATTCCGTAGGAAAACAATCTTTTGTGTGGCTTTTACAAGCCATGCCGACAGTCAGTGATGTAAGGCTTGGAGGTGACTGCGCAGATCTCTCCAAGCTGGCAAAACGTCAATACATCGACTGGCTGAGTTCTCATTCCAGGCCGAGGCTTCAATCAACTTTCGATTTATTTTGCTTTTGGCGATTTTCGCGATAGCTTCGAAGTTGAACTTATGATCGGTCTGGAAGATGCGGGCAGCCGCATGTGAGAATTGGACGTTCCCTTGTCCAGCTAGCTCATGTTCGTGTATGCGCGATCCGAGCATGTGTTCAGTCAGACCTGCGTGGCGGAAAGGACAGCTAAGGAACGGAATTCCATACAGTACGCCAGAAGGCTTCTCGGTACTTAATATGTCCTCGATTTTCATGGAGCTGTGTCGCGTATAACTGGTCGACAACTCTTCACTAGCGTGCTGTAGTCGACGGGTCCTCAGTCACTGTATCGAGAAACACGTTTGGTGCATTCTTTAATTTACAACCACCACTGTGAACAATCAGCGCAAAAAGACAGTTATTTCACTTACAGATAAGAAGTTTAAATTAATTTCTGATAATAATTATTAATCCAAATGACTGTTCCTCCATCAAAAAAGCCCAAGACTTATTTTTGTCACCCGCATCAAAACTGTCAAAATAGAGCTAAAGTTTCCTAATAATAACGAAATGCACCCACTTTTATGCTGTGCGCCCTCCAACTGGTTCCGAAACTTTAAACACTTATTTAATAATTACCAGTATCAACTATCGTACACCATGTTTTTAAAACGCCAACTGCTATAGACCGATGATATTCGTTTTCCCTAACAAGAGAATAATAGGGTTGCATCCTGTAATTCAAATTATTTTGCCATCTAACTGAAGCCTCACACCCCCTCGTTTGCAGAATGTTTGAAGACGAGGAGCTTTTGCATCGGGTACCGAGGGCATTCCTCATAATTGGAGGAATCTTGGCAGGCATACAGCTGATTGCTTGCATGGTTATGCGGCCGAAACCATCCGATGAGAAGGCTTCAATCGTACGTTCGTTTTTTTATTGATAATTTGCTCTTTACTTAGAACTTCTTTATATAACTCTTCTTCCATTTATCACATGCAGATCTCGAGCAAGTCTAATGGTCTACAAGTTGAAACGTAAGCTTTTTTCTTTCAAAAACATGCTCGATTGAGCGCCGTTCTGTGTAATTAGACTGGTCGATTACTGTGACTGGTTAAAAACTAATGTGCAAACTAAATACTGTTGTATAGGCAGAATGATAATGCCGACATATGCAATATGTTGCACTCATAGTACACAAACTATGAGAAAATTCCATGATATACTTACATCGAGTTTTCAGAACGGATTTGTACCGTGTGAATAAAATATTCAAATATCTCAACCAGGTTGCGATTGTCCTCACCAATCATTGCACAATCACGGCAACTTATATGTCTAATCTAGCGGACTGAGTATCAACTTGCATTATTAAGTATTTCGAATTAATCCTTCCCCATCGACATCTAAAGCTACTTTGTCGGAAAACGATCTAACTTGCCTTCCTAATAAATAACGATTTTGGATCCACTGAATATTTATACTGCTGCACGTCGCAGGGGTTATACTGTAAATTAAAATCGAGAGAAATATTTATTTGTTTAGATCATACCCAAAGAACTCCAGATTTGATTTATTGTACCGCATACGTTAACAGCTCCCATAAGAATGAGCAGGACGCCGAATGAAATGCGAACGATATTTGGCCTAATGCTGAATGTGTACTTTGATCTAATTTTAGGATGAAGGCTTTAGATAACCAACCTGCCGAAAAGGAAATTTCTCCGCCCGAGCTGTTCAAAATGCCCGAAGTATATATTCTTTGGAGCATAATGTTCCTCACCTTACTGCCACTGACTCTCGTGCTGTCTGCCATTAAGGTAAGTGAAAGGTTTATTGACAGTGTTTCTTATTATGTAACTGAAGGACTAAACCGATCACAATAATCACTGACTAAGGCAGAAAAGATGAGAAACTCAGATCACTGCTACTAGTGATATACCCGTTTGACTTCATCTTGACAAATTATCATTTCTATTCCTTAAATTGCCGAGAAGCCGTTTTACCCAGCGTTATTAACGCATAGTGGAGAACATAATCAGCTCATCAAGCTTGCTGTTTCAATCCTCCCTATATTTCTTAGCCTCCCTACGTTAGTTTTCATATTGTCACATTGCGAAATGCTGAAAAATCTCACAGTAGACTTTAAAATTATAAGATTTAAGGCCTTTTTGTCACAGAAAGCTAAGTTACATAGAATTGTGACTAGTACTTGCTGAGACAGAAATTTTATCTACGCATGTACAGTGTATGGCTTACGTCAGTAAATGGTAAAATTCTCACGTGTTTTAAGTTAAAAAGGATCACTTGGGTTGGGTTGTTATTTGATTACCATGTAGCATAACCCCAAGATATTTCCGTCAAGCCGTTATACCGACCGTCGAATGAGCGTCCTTCTGGCCACCTCCAGGCCATATACTCTGGAAAAAAGACTATTCATGTTGGATTAGTTTCCTTGTTGAACATTGTTATCTTTGTTAGTTGAAAAATACTTCATAGCAAACGAACACAAGATTGTTTTTGCTGGTATCCAGTTTGTGACATTTAACGTCTGTTTTAAAACAGTTCTTTGATGAGAGCGCTCTTTTCGGTTTTAGACGTTTTTAAAGCTCTCGAAGCATTTTGGACCGCCCTGTAGTTGCACTCCTCTTCATGGTATACAAACTATGCGCTCTATAGATCCCATAAGACGAGAAGCGTATATTTCTACATGCTATTAGGGACTTATTTGATTACGCAAATAACGTGCTCTGTGCTCAAAACTTCATACGTAGCACTAATAAGCGGATGAATACCATGTTGTATGAATGGGTACTATCTGATCTTGAAAATCACATAACTTACCGATCATCATTCTTTTGTCAAGTGCATTATTGACAAAAGCCGTTCTTTACCGCCAATTGAGCATCACAGTAGATATTTTCGAGTGTGCATTTCACAAAACAATTGTGCATTTACGGGAGCATCAAGAAACCTAGAGAAAAATTTCCGCTACCGAGTAGCCAATTTGCTTCGACTGCAGTTCTTGTGGATGGTGAAAAAATACTCGCACATATGCAGGCATATAGAAGTGACCGAAATATCTTGACATTCTTCTGCACGATAATGCATATGTAACACGCCAACCCAGAAAGGCTTTTCTGGTTGAATATAAACCTCCTAACTTCGATTAACGTTTTTATGATATTGGCCGACAGTTGCATGTACGCACATGCGACATGAATGACCAGTCTTCATTTCATCACCAGATATTTTGTGACAATAAATCAAATTGAAGAGAGGTCGGTCAGCACACAATTTCCGTTTGTATTTCCAAATGGCTTTCATAAGCGAATCATCACAATCTTTGTGAACCTGAAAGCTAATTACGAAAAAGGAGGTATTAATCGGAATAACTACTACAAAGCACAGATCAGTATAAGTCCACTCTAAGACACATCTCTAAAGCTCAGCCCCCACAAGTTCCACAGAAGTCTGAACATCCCATATTTACCGTCTTCTTAAGTAACTTGCAAGGGTACGCATGGCATGCTATAAACCGTTTTAGTAGTCCAGGAAAAATTAATTTTACAGTTGCGTCAATGCACCTCCCTCTCCTGGCCACTTTTAAATGCAGTTAGTTAATAAAAGGAAGAAAAAGGAACTAAATAATGACGGATTTTAATGATGGGTCCAACATACATTGCTACTCTATGTCCCGTAACGCCGTTTATAAAGAAGAGAGAATTAGGGTTCTATCAAGATAACGCAAGCTTGGGTACATCGAGATATTGCAGGCGAGGAGATAAGTATGCTTCGAGAAGCAACTACGTCCTGTAAATACCACCCTTATCTGACTCTGTCTCTGATGATCCGTGCCGATAAAACTCCTTTTTCAGCTATCATGTCCCTTCCTTCGACACTCTCAATTGTTTATCCTGTACCCACTGATCAGATAGTGTCACGTCGTGGGCCTTCAACACAACGTATGATTGCCCTATTTTAAAAATAGCAACAATGATCGCAAGTGTGCCAGAATTTATTTGTGCCGTTTTATAACTTGCAAGTTACTGAGAATCATCATGGGACACGACTTATGACTGAACACAGATGTGTAAGATGGTATTCCTCTCCGCTTATCCACCAACTCAGATTATTGGACAGATGAAGATTGACGATGACTCATATCTCAGCACTGTGGCAACCCTCGGCGCAGTCGTTAATACAATTAGTCGTATGGCCTGGGGTCCTGTGTGTGATGTGCTTTCCTTCAAGGTACGTTCTTTCTGATTACGATGGAAGCCATGATACAAGTCTTACTTTTTTCTAATAACACTTTTATCTTTGCTTACCATAACTCTACTGGAGAAGAAGTCGGAGGTCACTGGGCGGAATCCTTTTAACACGGGTCAGCCCTTTTGCCGCTTCATTCTTAGCGGCTACCAGCGGCTCTAGGATTAAAATTGCAAAACTCGGAGCATCATTTCATAGTTTTGTAGACGCCATAAAAACAGGAAACGATGAAGTATACTCTTTCACCTACTGTGCTTTGCAAAAAAGGCGGTCGAAAAGCGTCAGAAAGTACACGAATTTTAACCGCGGTTAATGTGTTACTTTTGTAAACAACGACTGTGCTTAGTCTGCGAACATGAAAATGATGTCTGTCATACTAAGCAGAAAATAAATGTTCATCATACTTTATATGTGAAGAATTGACTTAGTGCATTTCGACGGTGAAGTTCAGTCTCATAATTGTGTTTGTTTGCAGTTGAGGATACACTTGACCCTTACAGACAGGACAATGTTACGGACAGGGAAGAGGTAGCCGGACTGGTCGTTTCGGCCCTGCTAGCTGTCATCCGTTGGCCATGTCCGACCGCATATTTGAGGCACCTGGGATTCGGGCCTAGGATCTTTGTTCATTGAGTTGAACATCTAATCGACTTTGAGCCACAGTCTGCTGTCCTGCCGGCTACGGTCGGAAATGTCGATTATTCTGGAAGTGCATCTCCATTTCTGACCATAACCGACAGGACAGCGGGCTCGTGGCTCAATGGCAAAGCTTTCGATTCGACGAACCTAGATCTCCGATTTATATACCAGGTCACCCAAACCTAAAGTTATGTATAACTGCTTGTTGACGGTAAATACGCCGTAAGTGGCCATTTAATTCTCCCGTGTTTTTGTCAGTAGGCTTTCCATTCGTACTACTAGTAAATGCGCGACCGCCAGAAGGTCTTTGGATCGAGCCTTATGGCTCATTTTGACGGGCATGTGCGCTTTAAACACATTTGGCAATTGTCTCTTGCGCCTACTAGAGTAAGAATATTGCAAGGGCACCCATTGTATTTCTTTGAGTTCCTTTGCGATTTTATCGAGCGTTAGGTGGGCGGCAATATCTCTTTGGAACGGAACTGAGGAGTGTGCCTGAATGTTTCCTTTACGAGGTTTATTTTTTGCGTTTAGTAAGTTTGCCTGCATAACTTTCCTGCCTTGATTAAAAAATATACCGAAGACCATAATATACCACCCTAGAAGATTTCAGCATTCAGGCTACGCACTGGGCTGACATAACATATGTAGTTAGGTTTTGCCTTTAAATATTTTTTGCTGCATACGTCATAAGCCCTTCTGTCCTATGCGCCACGTGGTGTGCAGCACAACGTAACCGGGACGAGCACGTGAAAATTTTTAAAAAATAGTCTTGCAAAGCGACGACGTGTTGTTAATAATTCCCGGTATAAATTTTACATCTAAATGAAATCCCAGTAAAAGTCAATCAAACTTCATGTTTTCGGGGCTAATAACCTACAAAATGAACTAGAAAATGGATGGTTTTTTTAAAAGCAAAACATTTCGCGAATACTCCGTGTAAAAGCTCTAGCGGTAGACCGGTTATTCTATTTAAACACAGAACAGTACTTATTTGAAGCAAATGGTAGATACAACCAATGATCTATATTATAACCAAAAAGAGGCCAACGCTCGTTTACCATTTAATATTGGAAAAAAACGATTTTAGGACGGTTCATTGTCATCGGACTGTAGGCCGGCAGTTCATTAAATATTCTCGGTTGTCGCTTGTTTTCCATGATTCATGCGCGCATCGCCATATGAAATTGTCTGTGGAGTAAACTCTTTTACAGGGGAGGTATTGAAATGGTCTGACAAACACGAAGAGCATCAGACTTGTAGATAATTTGATAAGGGGAAATGATCGTGCATAATCGTTTTCTTTTGAACAAACCTCGAATACTTATCTTGCCTACTAATCTGGAACTAATAAAGTGTCCACATTAAAAAGCTGTTCTCTTCATCGTTCGAATGCAGGTCCCTCTGTTAATCAACAGCCTGGTTTACGCCGTCGCGCTCACCACGTTCCCCTTTGTGATGGCAGTGAAAACGGCCGGCCGGTATCTCTACGCCATCTGGGCGATTTTGCTGCAGTACAACATTGGCGGATACTTTGTGCTGCTGCCATTTGCCGTCTCAAGGGCTTTCGGGAACAAACACTTTGCCACCAACTATGGTATCGTGTTCACCTCCTTCGTAAGTCAGACCGAATCAATCAATTATCTAAAGAAGATGCAAGTACTGAAACACCAAGTATATTGAGCTGGCATTTTTGAGTTAATAGTTCATAAAAGATAGCTACGGAAGGCAGCCTTACTCCTGAAACGAAATCGTTAAAATTGAAATTATCAACTGAGGACATGTAGTAAATTTTGCCTATCCGCATAAATTATTTTCGGAAGTTGTTTTGCTTCTTCAGCAAAATATGTATCTACGTAATTTTATAAGGCGTACTCTTTTCAAATTTGGACGGAAATCGTCGTTGCCTCGTTTTCAGGCAGTTTTCTGTGCTAGTACCCGTCTGGAATTATGTTTGCTCACCCGCGCCCGCTCTTCCACGAAAGGGGTTTTACCAGCATTTGACAGATTGCCCAAACAGCGTATACTGCTCTTAAAAATAAATATTTGGCCCGCCCAAGTCAGGCAAGAAATGATGCGAATAAACAGCCTTCTTCTAATTCATTCGTTTTATCAACTTTTAAGTATATGGTTTGCAAATTTGTGTGATATATTGATCTAAAATACCGCAATATTATGTTAACCTATGCGTATTCGTTTTTCTCTACCGTTCGTTCATAAACCACAGCAACCGCAGAAAGTTTTATTGTCAAATGGGCAGTTTCGTTTCTTAGCATGTGCTAATACGCATTCTGCGCGGTCTATTTTTTGTCAGTCGTAATCAACAACCAGAACGGGCACAACATTAACAGTTTCAGCGATATTTTGATGTACTAATAACCGCTTATAGAACGAACTCGTGGTGTAAGCGAAATACCGAAAACGGCCCCAACCTGAGAAAAAAGTTTTCTTTTTCGTAGCAGTATTTTTGGAATAGAAAGACCGAAGCGATGGTCCTTTTCCTTCATTTCTCCTTGGAAAATCTTGATGTGGACATCCGTGGGCAACATACTTATGAGGGCGATTCTAAAATACTGCCTTATTAGACGTTTTCCCATGGGTCAAGAGCCCCGTTGTCACGAACTCTCACTGTAGACGTTGAGCTTTCAACTTTGAGTTCTGCTGTTAATATGACAGAAAACGTCACCTGTGGAAAAAGTAATGCCTGAAGACGGTCTATTTTTGAAGGTTTTAATAAATACCTTGTAACTAGCCTGCCCTTTTCAGCCGCCTATTGAAAACAAGAGCATGCTAAAGACTCAACAAAATGCATTGAACCTTAGCGTCGCCGTAAACCACAGTAATTTTGCGGAAAAAGTCTTCTTGATACACAGGATAAAAGTGCGTTTATAACTGCATCTGCGAAGTTAATGACAATTACCTGTCACCGACCGTCCTGCCAAAATGTGCTTCGGTAAAAACGTTGAGTCTTATAGCGTCCTCATCAGAGTAAGTAACCAAAATTCTCTGTGCGTTAACCAACGACAATTCAAACAATGCATAATAGCAATACCTATGTGATATTCTCATAGAATAATTTTGGATCGTGTAATTAAGCAATAGCCATTTAACCTTGTAGCATTCTTCCTGTAACACTAACTTTTAAAAGTCTTCGTCACAAATGCGGTTTTCGTCGAACTTCTTTGTGTTTTTCTCATTTTGTTTTCGCGTCATGTCAATGAGCAGGCTTGATGTGTTTCTGCTTCGTTAATTTACCAATTTGGCATACATATTGCTTAAGAATATTGCTATTTCTACCCAACGGAAGTGTTTTAAATATTGATTCTGTGTTTTCGTCTAACTGATTTGATGGGTATATGATGAGTGATTTTAATTGGTTAGAGGTACAAATAGGCAGTGTCTAGAAGTTTGTTGCGCGTTAAATTGTAATGTCTGAGGACGAGGATAAATGCAGTCGACGTCCGCCATTTTCCGGTTCCGCGCTTGTGGATCCAATTATTTGCAGATTTATATTTTTCTGGTAACAGACCAAAGATTGTTGCTAAGTACTTTTTGTGTTCGCAAATAAGTACGGTTTCATAGCAAAAATGATTTTTCATATCCTATTGTTAATGGTAAAGTGTTTGGAATGGTAATTTAAGACATAAATAGTGTCTAAACATTTAAACAGTCAGTGGTATGCATTTTTGAGGGGGTTTCAAGTATATGTGGGCCTAAGCTATTCGCGTGCAGCTATGGTCCTAAGTCCCGCGAATGGTGGGGTTCGTATCTACCCCAATTTGCCCCTTTTTACACACTCGCCCTATGCTTCCCAGAGATAACTTACAGAAAAACATTTGCCTTCATGTAGGGGAATTAATTTTGTAATCGATTTTAAATGGCGTTGCATAACTCGGTATGACAACTCGTATAGTATTCTTTGGCCAACCATGACGGTCTTTATAAGTCTTCTCACAATTCGACGATGCATTACCTATTAAAATACCCAGTAACGCAGTTGGCTGACGGAGCAAATTGAAATGAAGCCCGGCCATAAAGTCTTTGGTGATTTGGACACTTTAATATTTTTAACACTTAAATCAGCTCAAAAGAAAAATATAGATGTAGAAGAGGTAAGATCCTAATGGATAACAGACTGTTCTTGGAGCTGCAGCTTAGAAGGATACGTGCGCAGCCATCTAACGTTAAAAACATTGAAGACATGCGTAGTAACTTTGACAAAATCACAGTATTGTCCTTGATACGTGCCGCAAAACTTGACGTAAATAAAATCCCTTTCGAATCTCAGAAAAGGAGCCATATATGTTCCGGGGCTTAAAAGTTCTGCATGCGAAAATGACTGTTATTATAGAAAAGGTCAGCCTCGCCGTCTAATGTTACGCTTGTAGACCCGCTATTATCTAAGGCATATTTGGACGCTAATAAAACAGATGCTCAATTTGCGTCTTATTATATCTTTGCCGTTTCAGATGTCTATCTGAACGTATACATGGGCGTAATATTCTTAAAAATTTGAAAATTTCGACATCGTATTAAGCACCCAAACAACTGGAAGTGCAGTATAAATGGGAACATAATCTAATTTAACTGGACAACAAATACTTGACTTCTATAAACCCTTAAGTTGCCAGAATTATAGAGTTGATCAAATAAGTTAAACGCATATATACATACAGCTACTGTTGTCATGGTCAACGTGACTCACGACAGACAACGCTAAGTGATTATTGCACCCAAATATATTTCTGCAGTTCGAAACCCCCGGTCAAGTTCTTAATGCCCCTTAATGAGCTACTGCTTTTTCGTTAGTAACGCCTTTTACTACAAACCAAAATATCGGACAATTTATCTTATAGTAGCCACACTTCTGACAATGTTCCCACATCATTTTCCGTATAATCGATTTTTATATTCCCTATATATGACTATAGTCTACGCAAACATTTAGATACCAGGTGGTATAATTGGAGCAGCCGTCGTGGCGGCCATTACTTTGGAATACCACACAAGGGATATCTTTATCGTGTGTGGTGCCACTATTTTTCTGGGTAAGTATTAGTCATTCCTTTCAAGGTTGTTCTTTCTTTTTTACACATGGAGACTATTTGATTCCTTTTCTTGAGGAGTGACGCTGTCACTTAATGCGCTTATTGCCCCCTCCCTCGCATTTCCGTAAATGAATTTGAATTGCGGATACTCGCCCGCCATCAAGGATGTTTCTCCTACCGCGTGTGGAGGAATATTCCAAAAATAAGGAAATTGTGACCACGCCTCTTTAACGTCCACGAATTAATCCCACTTGTTGGGCAGAATGCTGGTTTGGCCGAGTGCCTCCCTCTGGGGCCTCAGCAATCGGTCATTTGTTGAACATCGGATGGATGACTGAGTGAATCCGTTTATCAAATCACGGTCAGCCACGATGGAGCTTTTGCGTATGGCTTACCGGTGATTGCAATCAGGTCGGATATAAACATGTCAGTCTCCACTTGCCTTTTCCGAAGTTGCGTATGGATTATTCGTTGTCTGTCGCTGGGAGTCTACCTGCGATGCCTGTAAGCTAAAGCTACTAGGCAAAATGGACAGTCCGGATTTATTTATCCCCCACCCCACTTAGCGTTACCTGCGTTGTTCATGCCAGTGAACCACACGGACGAGACTAACAAGAAATGAGGACCACATCTCAGCCTTTCCGGGGCTGACGTATGGCTGCTGTAGAGGGAGATAAATTAGTAATGAAAACTTTTAGTATACTTCCCTGTCGTTTTTGTCCGCACTACCCATCGATTTCTGATTCTGCCAGCAGGACCTCAGCGGTTATTCTAAAGAATTTGCATTACTATCAAATTAAAATTATTTCGAAACCTTATGGAAATGTTTGATGCCTTCCTGAATGTGCGCTGCTGAATTTTGACAGGCAAGCACATACTATCGCAGTCCGTTCTCGTCTACAAACTTATCTAAATTGTTAAATGGAATAAAGGCGTTCGCGTTTTAGCGAGTTCGCTCAATCATAGTCCGCTGTTCCGGACGCAGACGGCAGCATATTAGGCCATAGAACATTGGTGAGGGCTTAGATCAATGAATTACTGCCTTCAACCTTCAGACCAGTATGGCTAGATGCTTAGGTTTGGTTGGTCAGATGTGGTTATGTAGCCCCACGTGATGGGGACAATGCGATTGGGGTTGTGGTTAGGGGTTAGAGTTAGGGATTTTGGCAATTATTTCGCAAGCCCCCCCCCCCCTCCGCCAAGGTTGAGCCATGCACTCCCAATAGTTTTTCTTTTGCTTACAACTTAATAACCTCGTCCTCTGTGCGTCCCACGGGCCCACCTATAAAAGCCGCTATTACCAACTGTCTCAGTGACCGAGATTTGGTCACCTCAGGTGCGGCTGCATAATCACATCTGACCGTTTGCTTCACGGACAGCTGCTTAAGTCCCATTTGTTTTGTTCTGCACTGTGTGCGACGTATCGGTTGCCTGTTGCTGCTCGACTGTCTATCACATGGAGCGTCCCATAGTGGTTCCACATCGTGGTTTCCGCATGAACGTACACCTGCAATAAAACTGCGAAACCAGGAGTTAACAGTCCAACTCAGACCCGCTCAGGAGAGGGATGGGACCGGCTTGTGAAGGTAAATAAATTAAAAATAGCAGTCACAGTCCCGCCGGCGTCTTTATTGATGAAATCCCATCGAGTATTGAACCCGTCTGCAAAGCCTCTGCATACATTGAAAAGACCCCGCCTAAATACCTTGCTGACATCGTGAACAGAGCCGTATTAGTCGGCCGTAGATATTTTGAGAAGCTTGAAATGACCGCAACATGTGTGACTGATATGCCCTCAATTGATACAGCAACAGGTGTAGGTTAGAGTCGGTTGAAACTGCATAGACTGAAAACAACTCGCTCAATAGTCAATCACAGAGTTTAGCCGCAAAAGACCGTAAAAACTGGTGAATAGCTGCGGGTTAGAGGCCCGTGTGACCTAGAATAAAATCCAGCGGCCAACACGCTGGTGTCGCGTCGGGTGATGACAGATTTTCCAGACACGGGAAGTCCCATTTAAACAGCGCGTAGCCGAAGGACAACACAGACTTCCATATGAATTCAGTGTGATCTAATGTTGCTCCCAGGTGTTCGTCCCCATGGGGCGCCCGTCTGAATCTAAAAAATAACTAGGATCTAATGCATTACTTCAAAATATGCTACTCAAATGTGGCCTGCGAATTTAAAATAAAAAATACTTGTATGCTTCTTCAGATGGTTGTGCATTTACAATCTCTTTAAACTATTTTGCATATTCGTCTTAGTGGCGATATTGGCATGCGCATTGGAGGACGAGAAGGCGCCCGCTTGGTGTAGGGGACGATGGATGAGGAGAGGAAAGGCAATGAATGCCGCTCCGGCTGCTAGCTAAGACATGTGGATCAAAGCTACCGTATTTACATTTGTTTAAGTAAGTTCCTAGTCGGTCACTGATGTTGCTAAATAAGGCCAAATCATGCTTCATGTATGTCTCAACTCCTCTAATTTCAGCCAACAACCAACACAGCGCCACCGTACACTTCTCGATATTCAACTCGACGTCAACTTGTGCGCTCCCAGATGGCCGGCATAAAAATTAGATTTCCCTTATATACCTGATTTTGTATGAGACATTAATGTACGACCTATATGACAATAAAGCAGATATCTTGTGGCGTTTTGAATTTCTTCCGTATTAGAACCCTGTTTTAAACGATTCACATTCTGAATGCGTTTAATTTGCGCAGTTGGAGGAGGACATACCATTGACAGTGGCCAGTCATAATGCGTGTTCGTAAGTCATTTTTGGCAGACCACGATCAGGAAGGAAATATCGATTGAAATGCTATCAGTAAGCTACCATAGACTGAGGCTTTTAAAAATGAACCACCCCATCAAAAAGTGCCACCGCACATTCATACTTCGACCGACGTAAACGACAACCTCCTCCGATTGAAGTAATTTACAGTGCGGCAGCCCTACGCCGCATCTATGTACTCTCTCCACTTTCACCCAAATGGCTTCGAGGGTAAGCTGAGTGGATCCGGGTGCGGGAATAGTCAATAGTAAAACTAAGCAAACAGCCTACGCGTTCCATACGGCCGGATTCAAATTAAATTTACAAGACTTTCTGCAACGGCAGCTCGAATCTCACATTGTTTAACGATCTACAGAGTACCCAGTAGCGCGGGCCAGCCGTATACACAAAGACTTTTTTAAACGTTGCAGAGATCTTACTGAACGTCCGAAAGTATCCCATCGGACTAGGCATTCAAAGGCATGTTTATCGACATAAGAGTAGCTACAGGGTGGACCATTGATACCCGCCAACCAGTCCATGAGTTATACCTCTTACCGCTCTTAGTGGTTGTACTTTGCGGTTGGCAAGTTAAAAGTTAGTCTGTGAACTTCCAGACTGACTTTGAGGGTGGGGAGGGGAAAGCACAATTCCGTCGTCGATCGGTTTCTTCCCGGACGTCCATTCGCGCATGGCCGTCGACGGCACACACGATCCTCGTGACGACAGAATCTAAGGCGATGTGTTATTTAAGCAACTAAATGTGCTGACTCTGGAAGGGATACTGGTAATGAGTATGGAGACAATGGATGATGATTTCTGTCTTGTTATCCGTCATCTGTCTGTCATAGCCGACCCCAGATTTCAATAACTTGGGACTCGACTGCAGCTTATTTGGTCCATGAATGCTTTTGTGTTCAACCCTCTACCATCGGATCTTTTCAGCGACCATCCCTTCGACAACAGACCGCCAGCAGACGGATTATAGCCCGCGTTCTTCTGGATGGTTTTGCATATCTAGCACCGAAATTTGCTCAATGATCCAATCTAGTCTCCCGTGCGATTAAGTTCCTAAAACAGCACGAACAACAAAGTCTGAAGGAAAGAAAAAGATTTTTCCGGTAGCTGGTAGCCTTATATCCTATTTACATGAGGAGCCCCTGCACACGTACTCCATGACTGTTTCCTGGCAAAGAAAATCCCTCCTCCTTGTTCACCCCATGCAAGTTCCGGGCGATTATTCGACCTACTCGTAGAGTATACTAATTGAGTTTGAGGTGTTGGTCGAGGCATATGCGAGTACGACAGCTGACAGCCGATTGCTGCACATTTCAAACATTCCATATACCAAGACACGAACCTTTATGGAGTCAAATTCCACTTTCGTTTAGAAAAAGGAATATCATAGGCATATTACGTTCGATGGCATATGCACCTTCTTTGACAAGGCATAAACATGATAGGTGCATGTGCCCTGTCCTAGGGGGGTGTTATGACCAGGGAGAAGGTAGGACAGGAAGAGGAGCGGTTCGGAGGACAAGCAATTTATTGGAAACTTGAGGACCCGAGGAAAGTTACAACTCGTAAGAAAGGTGTGCTATTTATATTGGCTCCTGTGCGTTCTGGAACATTCCGTCCAATGACGTGCCAACCGTTGAGGGCGTTCTAGAATGTTCCTGCCCCGAACGTGCTGGTCGCTGATTGGCCACCGCGCGCGCGATAGCCCCCCCGCGGAAACGTCCGGAATGTTCGACCAGCCGCACACGTGAGCAAAGCCACCACGCGTGCTCGGCGCGGCAGTGCGCGCCCGTCGGCCGCCTAACTTCACGCGTGACTCACGTCGCCGGCGTGGTCCCCTGTTTAGCGCCTTAGGCCGTGGCTCTAAGCCGTTTTCACTCTCCATAACAAGGGGGGACAATTATCTCATAGCATCGGTACTAAAAATAAAGCCACACTAAATAAAGGTTGATGAAGCAGGATATTTTTTCGATCACATTTGAATCCAGATGTAAAGTTTTAGACTCAAACTATGACAAGATCTCATTTCGTAGGCGTACCTGTTAGGGGTTAAGGATAGGGGTTAAGTTTCGGGATTAGGCGTTAGGGTTGGAGGCTGAGGTTTTAGGCTGAGGGTTAGGGGTGAGAGTTGGGAGTCAGGCTAGCGCTTGTCTACTGCAGGTATGGCTACGAAAGCAGATCCGACCGAACCTGTTTTCCAATTTATTCCATTCACTTGGTCATAAGGTGTATAAGCTTAATACAGAGTAACTGGAATCTAACCTGTCAATTCTACTACGAATGACCAACTCACTTACCAGCTATGGTTTGGTTTCCTCTTCAGTACGAAGTGGAAGCAGAAGTCATTTTGACTTGCATTAAACATCTGTGTCCAAAATTCACGTTATAATAGAAATCGGCGTAGCCAGATAAGTGTTGCTAAGAGATGTGCTAAAATCAAAAGAGTAAATTGCAGAAACCTATTTAAGATAAAAGTTTGGAATATGTGGGCCATCGTGTTTCGTTTTTTTGCCCGAGTGAGGAAAGCCAGTCGCTTTATGGAGATTTAAAAACCAGTCTAAACTAATATGTAGGACCCATTTGGTGGATAAATTACCATAAATAGATAGACATGGTGAACTAAACTGTCCACAAATCTACCTAAGCATGAACGTCGCTTGGTTATTTGTTGTGCGAACATTGCCACTGAGTGCTCACATGTTGTCTTTTCTAAACAAATTGCAGATCATCCAAAGTGCTCATTATCTGCGGTTTTTTTAAGTAGTATACGATCCTATTCGTCATCCAGAATAAAAGATTTGTGAGAAGAAACCTCAAACAATTACGCTTCTCTTTTGATCTAGACCGAAATTCGGCCAGATGTGGTTATGTAGCACCACACGAAGTAAACAAGCCCCATCCACCTGTAATTCGGGACCGGTGGTAATATAAGTTTTTGTAGATGGGACCGGGGAACGCACAGACGACGAGGTTAAGCAGTTGTATGCAAAAGAAAAGCTATTGGAGGGTGCGCGGTTGTATATTGAATGGTTGATAAATAGTCACCCTCACCCCTAAACCCAGCCCCTGACTCGAACCCCTAACCCCTCACTCTAGCCCTTGACCATAACCCCCAACCCTAATCTCAACCGCTAACCCCAATTCCAGCAGTATTGTGTCCATAAGGTGGAGCTACATAAGCATATCGTACGTAAAAGTCACCTCAACCCTAAGTCCACACAGCAGCCATGTCGACCTGGCCGACGATGCATCATCTGAAGTTTGATAGATTGGTTCCAAATCACTATGAATGACAATGAAATTATGTCAGTCGTTAAAAACAACGACCCGAAAACCGCCTGTTCGTGAATCTACTGCATGGCGCTATCTTTCTGTCTCCAAGGCGGTGTCTTACGAATAACCTCTTGTCATTCTGGACCAGCAGCCAAATGATGTACGTGTGGCTAACACAGCTTTACTCGTATTTAGGCTACCACTCGCGGTGGAGGCGATGACCCGACTGTTGGTGGCAGTACAACGGACATTTGCCCACAGTGTACCCCGTGGTTATTGACACCTTATCAAAGACCGAGTACTACTCCGGCAGAAACAAGCGCATCACATAAACGTCTTCTACCAAATGTGGATGGTAAGATACCCAACAGAGCCGTTTTGGGTCTGAGGGGTTTAGACTGGTCATTCATACGGTCCACACAAAGTCATGAAAAGGCAGGCTTTAGCGGGCGTCGGGCTTCTCCGTGAAGCACTCGAGGATCGGGGATGGTGCGGCCTACCTATCTACCCGATCAAATAAGAAAGAACAGCTGCCCCTGATATTCATTTCCAAATATCGGCGAATTCGCCCAGATCAGGTACAGCAGATGTGCTAACTCATGATATGTCAACCAAAATTTCGAAATGCGTTCTTGTTTCGAAAAGATAAATTAATTAGTGTTGTAAAACTAATCATGATGCAGCATAAATCTATAATGATCCAATTACGTCAGGGTGACGGCTTTCGGAAGAACTTATTTTCGGCTGCATGCGAGATCTATACTCTGCATAAAGAACTACTTAAGTAGCATGCACTTTTTTAATTGGTTTTCGATCCCCTAGAAAATTCAATTATATTTCATGGAAAACATGCTTAAAAATATTTATTCTTTTACTAATTCGGTAAAACATCACGTTTTCTTCCAATTTTATACTCAAAAGAAGAGTATAGTTCGGTTTGAAAAAAATTCTAATTCCCGAATAATTTTGAACCCGACCTGCTGTTACAGTTTCATTCAGGGTTTCAAAACTACAAGCTGTATATTTTCAGTGTACGGAAAACCATGCATTTCTCTATGGTGTTAAGAGGAGATCATATGAGGCTCATAAAATTAAACAGTGGATTTGAGCAATATTGTTAACTTTACAAGCCACATTCGTAAATGCAGATACATGACGTTTCATGAACGGCCATTTAACGGTATTGAAAAATCTCACATTTAAAAACTTTTTAAAACCGCATTATACTCCTCCTTCGAGAATAAAATTGAAGGAAGACGTAATTTTCTACCGAATAAATCAAAGAATAAATATTTTTATGCATT